ACACACACACTGCACAGCCCCAGATATCCTAATAGTGAGAATTCGGCTTTGGTGACTGTGTGGGCTCCACATGGACACACACACACACCGCACAGCCCCAGATATCCTAATAGTGAGAATTCGGCCTCGGTGACTGTGTCTTTGAGCCTTGTTCTGAAAATAAGAATGGCTATGGAGAAACCAAATGATACTGTGCTTAAGCAGAGTAAGCACCAGGAATTAAAAGGAGCATTCTCACACCGTGTTAGAAGAAGAGTGGACGCTGAGCACAGGCAGTCCTGTCTAAAACTCCAGCACTGGAGAGACTGATGGAGGAGGAGCCAAATGTGGGTGCACACTGAGTTTGTCTTTCCTCCCAAAGCAACCAGTGGGAAAATAGCTTAAAAACAACAACAACAAAACCAAACCAAAGTGACTGGCGTGTAAGGATCTAACATAGGATCCTTATATTAGCACACAAACCTGTGAAAAGTACATTTTTTTTTATTTTGTTTTTTTGAGGCAGGTTCTTTCTACATAGCCCTGACTATCCTAGAACTCACTATGTAGACTAAAATAAATGTATAAAATAATTATATAGAGACAACAGATAAAAGAATTTGTGTACTGGTCTTAGTATAAGATGTATGAAGGAGATAGTTAATAGAGTAAGCTACATAAAAATTTAACAGCCAACAGTTGTTGATTAATAATTTTTGTGTATGTCTATGTGGATACATGTTCATATGTGAAGGCACACATGTTGTATCACTCAGGAAGGTCAGTGGACAGTCTCTGATGGGAGTCCTTGCCTTCTACTTTGTTTGAGGCAGGACCTCTCTTGTTTGCCTCTGCATGTTCCCAGGCTAGCTGGCCTTCCAGCTTCTGGAAGACTGTTGTGGCTCCACCTTCCATGTCACCACAGGAATGCTGGGACTACAGACTCGGGCCGCCACATCTACATCTGTCTTTTGCAGAAATCCTGGGAATCCAGTGATGTCATTGGACTTGGTCAGCAAGCACTTCCAACTGCTGAGCTATTTCTCTGGCCCGGATTTAACTCTTATACCATCCAAAAATGCAGCCAAAATGGGGAGGAAACTCTCAGACTCTAAGAAATATTTGTAGCAAATTTCCAAGGATTTCAGTATTTTCACATGTGAAACCTTTATGCAGATTTGTAAGTAGGCACAGAATAAGATTAGACAATTAACTAAATAAAAATTTTAACAAAACAAACATAGAAAAAATTTAAATATAAATTAAACTACTAAGTAGTTACTGAGAGCCACATATTAAATTGGCAGCGACTCCTTTGCTGACCATAACAAGGCAATTACTAGATGACTAAAGTGTTGTGGGCTGTTACATAAACACAACTACTTAATATTCTTATATTATTATTCATGAAATTATTGGAGTTGGGGGCCCCGGACGGGGGGGGGGGGCCAGAGAGGCCCTCCAGCTTGTCTTTTGAGACAGAGTTTCTTATTGAGCCTAAAGCTCCCCTGTTCAGCTGCATATAGACCGGTCATCAAGCCCAGGGATCATTTTGTGTGTGTGTGTGTGTGTGTGTGTGTGTGTGTGTGTGTGTGTGTGTGTGTGTATATATATATATATATATAATCTTAAAAAAAAAAAGAGTGTGTTCAGTTGTGATGGCCTTTTTAGTGTCACAGACTAGGGTGAGTCAAGAGAAATGGCTGCTGGAGAGAGTGGAGGCGTCCGTCCGTGTTTTCTGATAGTTGAAAACTGGTTGCTCTGAATAATGAGATTAGGCCTGTGCTTTATGGCACCAGTGGATAGGATCTCAAGCACTGCAAATGTTAAGTCATTATAGGACAGAAGAAGTAGCCATGTTTTAGCCAGCATCTTGTCATTCTAAATCTACACCCATCTGAAACTTCACAGTAGTCATATATATCTGAAAATGAGTCTAAATTTTTGCCTAGTGAATAATATGAATTTTTGTGTGGAGGAGAATATTTTAGCACTGTTGTAGAGCAGAGCCAAAGATTTAAATTGGTCCAGGCCTGCTTGGCAAAAAATCTTCATACAGGATACTCTGAGAAAGAAGCTAGCTGCTAAGGTTGCTGACAGAGGGCAGTGTTTGCCTTCCTGCATGCTTCTCCTTGTTTATTGGTAATTGCCAGATTGTTACCAAACTTAGAGTTGCAGTAACTTTTTCTGGTTAGCAACTGTTCTTGGTGATAGATTGTTTAAGAAAAAGCCTTTCCCCACACATGAAGCAGAGATGCAAATCTAGCCTTTAAAAGACGTTGCTTCTGCACTTAGATGTAATTTTAGACCTGTGCTCTTTTCCATTGCTGTTTGTGCAGATTTTTTGATGAAGCATGCTGCAATTGGGGTGGTTTATGTGTTTCTTGCAAGTAGAACAAACCCAGTTAAGCAAGAGATTGAAATTAGACAACAGCTTCTCTGCAGTCTTAGCCCACAGCCAAGAATTATATGGTGACAACTCTTAGTGATTCTTTGGTAGAAAATTATCTTGCAGAAGTGTAGTTTTAATTTTTCCCCTGAAAGACAGGATCTCATGTAGCCCAGAATAGCCTTAAGCTCAGTAGGACAACCTTGCGCCTCTGAGCCTCCAGCTCCTCCCTCTTGAGTACTGAGATTACTGATGTGTGCCACCACACCCAGTTATGTGGTACAGGAGTTCACTAGGCAGGCAGCCTACCAATGGAGCCACATTCCCAAGCCTGATATTTCATAATTTACCCATTTATTCAATAAATAGTTATTTAGTGCTTGACACTCAAGACACTGTGTGCAAGTATGTGTGTGTGTCTGTCTGTCTGTCTGAATGTCTGTTGGAATATGTCTGAGAAAACGAATGTACTTGTTGATGTCTGCATACTTGGGGAATCCCAGTGATACACGCTTTCTTGTCTGCTTGCTGCCTTCCTTCTCCCTCCCCTCCATCCTTTTTGGTCTTCATTCTTGTGTTTCCTTTATACCTTGCTCCTTCTTTGAGAAGTGAACTTGTCCACGAATATGAAAAACTATATATGACATTGTATATAAGACATGCATGGTGTTGAGGTGTGGTGGTGCACACCTGTAATCACAGCATTCAGGATCCGGGCACAGGAGAACTGTGTTTGAGGTTGACCTCTGCTCCATGGCAAGACCCTTTCTCAAAACAAGTCTAGTATAAACAGAAGGCAATGAAAGTTTAATTTACTTTAAAAGCTAAATGGAGTTTCACCTGTGCAGAGTCAAAGCAGGTACACTTGTTACTTAGCTCGGAAACTGTGTATATTTACATAAGTTATCTAATTAAATTTTAAATGAAATTAGTATTGGTATGCTGTTATAAAAGTGTGTTCTCTGAATTTGAGTTCTAAAGTGCTATTTCTGGAATTAGGCCTCTCTGTACCTTTGTATTTGATATATCACTTCTAGAAATTTGTTAATTCTCAGTGCCTTTGTTGTCTGGTCTCTAGGATATACTCCAGTTAATTAGTGATGTGGTTCTGGCTGTGTCTATACTGATGAACTTCAAGGTTATTAAAATGTAACTCTTTTCTTCAGCTTCAGACAACAGCCAGCGCTTCCGGGAAACCTGTTTTGCATTTGCCTTGACACCACAACAGGTGCAGCAGATCAGCAGCTCCATGTAAGTCCTCCTGCAGTCTGACCTGCAGTTTCTGTAAGTCCAGAGCCAACTCTAGTAAACGTGTTCAACTTCCAGCGGCTAGCTAGCTCGCCCCCCTCCCCCTCCCTCCCTCCCTCCCTCTTTCTCTCTCCCCCCCTCCTCCCTCTCGCTCCCTCTCTTCCCTTCTCTCTCTTTCCCTCTCTCTCCCACATGCACACACTCATAGGCACTGTTGACATTTCTGATATTTAGGAATAGAATTACATGTCCTCATGTATATATTTAAAAATAATTTTTATTCTTATTCTATTTTAGGGATATTTCTGGGACCAAATGTGACTTCACAGTGCAGGTCCAATTAAGGTACAGTGTTGACTATAATATATATTCAATTTTTAAAATAGGATATTCCTTAAAAATTAATTTTTAAAAATTATCTCCTCAACAAATGTATTGCAGATATTGAGTGAGCTACCTAGGAAGAGAGGCACCCTGAGAGACTGCTTGTTGACCCTTTGGGTCTTCTCCGTAGGGGTGCTCCTGGGCTGGTTGGGAAGCTGCAGCCGAGAGTGTCTGTAAAGACACTTGAGAAGTATCAGCTTTTGGGTGGTTGTGGTAGCATGGGCCTTTGACCTAGCACAGGAGGATCTCTCAGGACAGCACAGAAGTCTGCAGTCTCACACACAAACACCAGAGACTCCCACCCACCCCATCCTGTTTCACTTGTAATTTAATATGCTCTCATTCAGAACCACACGGAAGTTCTCAGAAGTGTACAGAAGCATACCAACAACAGGCTTGTAGACACCATTTGTCAAGTTTTGTTTCTAGGCCCTTCCAGTGCTTCTGAGGGCATCTAAGAAATTTATTATTTTTATGTATTTTGGTGTTTTGTTTGCTCGTGTCTGTGTGAGGGTGTCAGAAACCCTGGAACTAAAGTTACAGTCAGGTGAGCTGCATGTGATGGGCCCTGTGGATTGAACCTGGGCCTGTTGCAACAGGAGCCAGTGTTCTTAACCACTGAACTAGCTCTCCAGCTCTCCAGCTCAGTGAAAGTTAGTCAGTATGATGAGAAGTTACAATTTTTATAGTAAGCCTTGGTTTTCCTAAAAGATTGTTCATTTAATTTAAAAAATAAATGTTTTTGTGAGTTTTTAAAATAGTGTTTTATTTTCTGCAAACGTAGCACAAACCTGGGATTATTCAACGTCTTTTGTTCTTCAGTAGTGAAGTAACTCCTTGGCTTTTTTGACAGACTTGATCTTGAAGGTGGGATTTGGGCCTTGAAATCATGTTTTCAGTATATTCTGAGAACCAGAAAACTATTACAGGGGCCACATCAAAACTACTGTATGCTATGCCTTCCTCTTGGACTTAGAGTCATAGGAGCCTGTGTGAAGCTCTGGGGAGAGCTTTGGCACAGAAGCTTTAAATGTTTTCATTCAGGGTTTTTAAGTTTATTAAACTATGGAGCCCTTTGAAATTTCATGAGACCTCCTCAATCCTAGACAAAAAAAAAAACTGCAGGCAACTAAGGAAGATTGAGAACTAGAAAAATAGTCTTCTCTAGGGAAGAACACACAGATACCCAACACACGTGATCAGCCTCAAAGACATATGCATACAAGGAATGTTCCATGGATTGAGCATGTTGTATTTATCTATTTGGAAACACACACACAATGGAGAGTGGGGGCATATATTTAAAAGATAGTAAGGAAAAGGGAGTGGTACCTAGGAGGGATTGGCAGGAGGAAAGGGGAAACATGATGTCATTATAATTTCAAAAAAAAAAAATAGGACTTGAAAAAAAAATCAGGCCAGGCAGTGGTGACACACACCTTTAATCCCAGCACTTGGGAGGCAGAGGCAGGCGGATTTCTGAGTTCAGGGCCAGCCTGGTCTACAGAGTGAGTTCCAGGACAGCCAGGGCTATACAGAGAAACCCTGTCTCGAAAAACCAAAAAAGAAAGAAAAAAAAAAAATCAGTTTTTAACACCTTCTAATACTATCTGAGGGAGTTAAATAAATTCTAAAATCATCATAAGCACTAGTCCAGGCTGGTCGGCACAGCTTCTTACTCAGATTCCTGATGGAGTTAACTGACTGTGACCTTCAGCAGCTTAGCTGAGGTGGGAGGAAGGAGGAGGCAAACTCACACCTCTTGTTGTAAATCCATACGCAACCTTTTTGGTTGTTCGATCAAGAGAGGGTGTTGCTACATATCCCTGGCTGGCCTGAAACTCACAGAGATCCCCCTGTTTCGGCTTTCTGGGTGCTAGGATTGAAGGTATGGCCACTAAGCCCAGCCACATAAAACTTTGGACTGTCCCCCAAACCTAACTTCGAATTGCTGATTTACTGATAACCTAGACAACCAATTACCACATGTTGTATATATGGTATATTTGATGAAAATGAACAAGAACCACATGAGACCATTTCTACTGTGACTTGATAGTTGTGAAGGCATGCTTGAAGAGGTGCCTGACGTCAGGCAGTGGGAAGTGGACACTTGACAGCACTGCACTTGCTGCTTTAGAACAGGGCGTGGTTTGAAGTTCTTGTTCTCTATTCACTCTTACAGACACTGAAAAATACAGTGTTATTCTTAATTCCTTATTACTTCCTGTCCTCAGCACAGACTCAAGGTCTGTTCTGATTGCACAGAAACAGGAAGCATCTGTGAAATCCCCCAGCAAGCATGTGTGGACCACAGTTTTGTGCAGTTGTCACTTAAGATCTCAGCTTTGTGCTTGTTTTTCTTTGACTGAGAATGACACCAGATGTGGCTGGTCTGTGTGCATAAGTTAATGGACATCTATTTAACCAGTAGATGTACACGTAGTTTGTGTTAATTTGTATTTGTTAAAATGTATTATCTACATACATTTTATGCATGTGTACGTCATCTAAATTCTTAATGTTTTTCAACACTCACGCGCATGCACACACACAGACCCATACAATTCAGACCTCTGTTCAAAGGTCAACTTTATTTCTAAAAGCCTGCTTGCCTATGTTTTTTCCTCATGTGAAAATATACTGTTTTTATTGTTTATTCTTTTTCTGTTTTCAAAGTGATCATCTTTCAAGTTATGTATCAAGTTAAAATTTTAGAGGTTATCTTTTAATAAGAAATTAAACTCAATCTTTGCCATTTAGGTTTTGTTTATCAGAAACCAGTTGTCCACAAGAAGATCACTTCCCACCCAATCTTTGTGTAAAAGTGAATACAAAACCTTGCAGCCTTCCAGTAAGTTCTAAAAGCAATTTCTGAATTAACATTTCATGTGCGACTTTTACATAATTCATCTTAGATGTTTTTAATTGTCATTTTGGGGACTAAGGATGCTTGGTCAGTGATAGAGTGCCTGCTTAGTATTGAAAAGACGCTGAGTTCAGCCTCAAGCCCTGTTACCACAAGGAGACATTTTCTGTGTGTGTCTGAATCTCATTAGATGTGACTATGTGAGGTTCACTGACTTAGGTTACCAGTTTTTATATGGACAGAAAATTGTGGCATTTTGAGTTGCCCATGGGTAGCATCAAGTTACACTTTGTTTTAGGGATGATGCATATCTTCAGAGTCGCAGCTGTGCCCCTGTGAATCTGTGTCTCTGTGGTAGAGCAAGGTTTGGGATGCTGGTGTGCCTTGTGTGGGATGGGGTGGGATCTGTGTTTGTTCCCCTCAGACATGGTTCTTGTATACCTCATTAAGACATTATGAAGTCACTCTGATTCTGAAATGTAAGAGATTTTGAATTTCTATCACTAGTATTTTTCTCAGGCTTAACACAAGGCTGGTAAGTTGTCTGGAGAGATTAGGTAACTAATTAAGTGTTTGCTTACCTGCTCTTTAATGATATCATTTGTATTTTCTAGCCTGTACTCTGTAGGTTTTTTAATTTGTTGTTGTTGTTGTTGTTGTTTTTGGTTTGTTTTTTAAGAAATGGGAACAATTTGTGGAATAGCAGAAACTAATTTTATTTTTCCCTAGGGTTACCTTCCACCTACTAAAAACGGGGTGGAGCCGAAGCGGCCTAGCCGGCCGATTAACATCACCTCGCTTGTCCGGCTGTCCACGACAGTGCCCAACACCATTGTTGTTTCCTGGACTGCAGAGATTGGGAGAGTAAGTAAACTTATGTTTGTAGCCATTTTCCTGTCATAAAGAAGGGTTAATCACCATGGCTTACCTGAGCTTAAATGTGAATTATACTGTAAATTAGTTGAAAAGGAGTTTTGTCCCACAGTGAATCTTTAGGCTGTTCCTATCAAATCATGTAGTCTCCATGGCTTTTCACTCAGTAATTTATCATAAACTTCTTCCTATGTCATTATATATTCTTCTGCAGCATTTCCAATGGCTATATCATATGGTGATAAGAATATGCCACTATATAGCCTGTTCTCTGATGTTGAGTATAGTTTTGAATATTGTCCTGGCAGCTGTAGCTTTGCATACATGAATGATAATTTCCTTACAGTAAATTCTCAGAAGCAGTGTTTTTGAGCCAAAGAGCAAGAAGGATTTTGAGAAATTTTGTGTGCATTGACAGATGGCTTTCCCCAAAGATATACAAACGTGTTCTCTGATTTATAGTGTTTATTTACACGCAAACACTATTATCTTTAAAAATTCTTTAGTATTAAGTAAATATTAGCATTTAGTACCCTTTTTGTTTTTAAGAAGAGTAGGCTCACTTGTTATTTATATAACTATTTACATTTTAAGTTTGTACCCGTGTTCATTTTTCTTTTGTTCTTTTCTTAGTTTTCTTACTAGGCTTAATATGTTGAAAATTGACCCTTTGTTACATCTCACAAAATTTGTCTCCAGTTTGTGAGCTTTTTATAAATGTGATTATTTATATGCAGATTTAAATTTTCATAGTACCAAATGCTAACTAAAGCTCTTTGCTTTGTAGTCTTCCCCTTCCCATGATGCTCAGCCTTTCCTCCGTGCTTTCTAGGATGATGGTAACAGGTGGACACTGCTAGACTAGGAAGGGTTCTTGTTTGTCTGTAAATAGTTAGTTAGTGCATCTTGAACCCATGTTGTATGAGAATATTTTTTCACTTGTTAGTCAGCCCAGTTCTTATACCACTAAGTAAATGGTAGTTATTGCTACATATATAATTTTTTATATTCTGCCCTTGTTTGTGAGCTTTCTTTATATTGTTTCTTAGTCTGTCATTCATTTTCTAGGGTAATCTTTTAAATTTTTGCTTAAAAATTACTGTAGCTTTTTAGTGTTAATTCTATCCATAAGTTGAACTATATTGACTATGTGTTATACACTGCATAATACTATTGTAGGGTGAACAGATTTTTGTTTCCCCAGGGCCTGAGATCTAGGGCCTTCATGCATACACACAAAGAAATGTCCATCGATAAGAGAAGTGGCTGGTGATTTTAGTGTAGTCAGGTACTTGAAAGAGGAGACGTCAGGGATGGGAGTCAATGAGGAAGCGGTGACTGAGATAAAAACTGGGATAAACATAGAGAAACATTCAGAGGAAGAACAGCAGCCCAGAGGCAGGGGTGATCCTTGTCTTTCCCAAGCAACTGAAGGGGGTTCCCTGTGACCAAAGTATAGTGAGTGAGAAGAGCCTCAGGGACCTTTCTGGAGAATAAGACCTAACTCAACCATGAAGGGCTTTGTAGGAAATGTCAAAGGAAAGCCACTTTTTTCTTTATAAGCAGAAAGTTTATATGTTTCCATTTAGAGCAAGGTCACTTCTTAGAGTGGTTAAGTAGTTGGGATAGTTGCCAAAATCATGTAGTGGTCACCTCTTAAGAGCCAATTATCACAGAAGCATTCATAGGAGCTTTAGCTAGTGTAGAGTGATTAGGAAAAACACCCATTGTCAGTGTCTTGCCTCCACGTGCACACACAAATGAACTTGCATGTAAGTGTTTGAACAGAGAGCACACAGGTGACGTGAGCAGGAAGTGTTCAGTTGTGATGGGTGGGAGGTAAGCTCGAGAGCTGTGAATTACAAGCCTGTCCCTGGGGAGCAGACGAGATGAAGGCACTGACTGTGAGTCTGACAGTTCTTTGTCTTAAAGGGAGAGCCTGTAGTGTGTCTGTGTGGTGACAGGACTCTCCTAGAGGGAGGGGGTGGATAGTCAGCAGTGAATTGCATCCTTGAGGGAGCTCATGGTAGCTAGGAAGGAGAACTTTTTCAGTGGGACAGTGAAATGACTTGAGGAACTGAGAGAACCTCAGAGAGAACTTAGAGAGGAGGACATGGAGGCGAGTGGTGAAGGTCTTAGCAGGGGACACGGAGAAGCTTCTCTTGACATGATTTTGCCACATGAACTGTGGAATTTCTTAACCACATACTTTCCTCACTCTGCCTCTTGGTCTTTCTCAGACTCAGTGAGATTTCCTTAGAGTCACAGATGAATAGGGAAGCTGGGAGGATTTTTAACAGTAATGTGAAGTGTTATCAGTCCCAGGAACAGTATTTCTCCATTGATGCTCCTCAGTAACTACATAGGTGTAATAGTTGTCTTTGTAAGTCCTACAGCCTTAATTCCTGTGTTGGTTTTATTATTGATATTTCCAGTGTATCTTTTGTTCTGTTACATTTTCTAGGGTTGTTTATTGTTGGCTTATTCAGAAGCTACTGATTTGTGGATATTTCCTACTTAAGTTCATATATTGTGTTGTTGTTGTTGTTGTTGTTGCTTTCTTAGTCTTTCCAGGAAGGTAGTGTTTATTGTAGATTGTCATTTACACAAATGATAATACTGATAATATATACATACATGTGTCTCATTTATTTCTTCTTCTAGCTGGAGCTTTTTAAACACAGCAGATGCCAGTGCACATCCTTGATTGTTCCTGTGTAAAGCATACTACTACTGTTATAATCCTTACTGTTAGAATGACCTGTGTGCACGAGTGCATGCACATGTGAGCATGTCCACAAACAGAAGCCAAAAGAGGGCATCACAGCGTCCTCTTCTGTCACTCTTGGTGTGCCTCTGAGGCAAGGTAGCCTGACCTCACCTAGAAGCCAGCAAGTCCCCATGATTCTTCTGTCTCCACCGCTAGTTACAAACCTTTATAAGAAAATTCTGGCCGGGCGGTGGTGGTGCACACCTTTAATCCCAGCACTTGGGAGGCAGAGGCAGGCGGATTTCTGAGTTCGAGGACAGCCAGGGCTACACAGAGAAACCCTGTGTCGAAAAAAAACAAAAAAGAAAAAAAAAAAGAAAATTCTGCCTAAACTCTGGCTCGTAACCTCTGAGCCCCACCATGAGGGTTTTGAGTTTTGAGTTTGTTTGCTTAGTCATTTTGTTTTTAGGCTGGATCTCACTATATAGTCTTAGCTGGCCTGTAACTCATGGAGAGCAGGCTACTCAGAACTGAGATCCAGCTGCCTCTGCTTCCCGAGTCCTGAGATGAAAAGCGTGCGTCATCGTGCCCAGCCCCACTGTTAGTCTGGAACTTAATTACATTAATGGTATGTTTATAAGATTTCTCTTTTATGAAGTTTCTTTATTAGAAATGACTTTTGAGAGCTGGGAATGGAATTCAGTTCACACATTCTTTACCTGCCATGCATGAAGCTCATTCTCCCCCCAGCACTCCATACACTGGGCCTGGTGACACAGGCCTGCTCTCCCAGAGATCGAAATGCAAGGCCATCTTTGCATTTCTACAATAAAAAACATAACAAAAAGTGCTTTGGGGCTGGAGAGATGGCTCAGCAGTAAAGAGCACTGACTGCTCTTCCAGAGGTCCTGAGTTCAATTCCCAGCAACTGCATGGTAGCTCACAACCACCTGTAGTGGGATCTGACACCCTCTTCTGGCGTGTAGATATAATGCAGACAGAGCGCTCATACATACAATTTAAATAAATCTTCAAAACACAGAAAGGAAGTTATTTTAGTAATCTCAGATTACTATAACTACATTATTTTAAAATTACTAGTTAAATCCAGCTTGTGGGGATACTCTGAGGAGTTCCTGCAGAATAGATCCATAGTATAGACCCTGGCCTGGTGGGGCAGGGGTATGATTCCAGCTCCTTAGGAGGTTGAGGCAAGAAAGTCTCAAAAGTAAAACCAGCCCAGTCAGTTCTAGGCTAGCCTGGGTACCTTAGTGAGAGTCTGTCTAAAAGAACAAAGTGAAAACAAGGCTGTAATTACAGTAGAAGGGTTGCCTAACTCACAGGAGGAAGGATATGTCTCTTCAACGAAAATAAGTAGATTCCACACAGCTCTTGAAGGAGATGCATATTGTAACTTCTTGTTCTACTCTGTGGCATTGTATTTAGCATTTATTAGACTTTCACTGTGGAAAAGGGGGGCAGAAGGACATTGCTTAGATTATGGAGAAAGTATCTTACAGACTTAAACAATTTTACAAACTTTGAGAATGTACGGATAAAATTAACAATTGGAGATGATATGCAGGTAGTTGGGGCCTAGGCGGTACCTTGAGGGCCGGCAGAAACACTGACGAGCTGCTGTTGCCTTGGGGCTCTTTGTGCTGCTGATGTTGGTTCTAGAGGGATTCCATTCCTAGTGTTCTTGCAGCCTTTGTTTTTTCTGGTTGCATGTTTCAACCAGAGCACACATACCTTTTCACTTAACTTGTGTTTGAGGTTTTTTTTGTTTGTTTGTTTTTGTTCTTATCTCATCATAAATACCAATAGAAAGTCCTGGGGGTAATTCCAAGTTTGAAGGTTGAAGCTGTCAGTCCAGAATCTCACAGTGTTGCATCTCTCTCTCCAGTTTCTGTTTGACCTGAAGGATTTAGGCAAGCAAGGAGTGATGGTGAACAAGGTTTGGGTTTCTTCCTAAAAGACTCTTATCACTTCTTTATTAGATTAGTAAGTTATGTGCTTTAACTGCAGGGACACTGTAAACTTGTTCCTCGATAAAATACTGTGGAATGTACTAATGAGAGTAACTTGGCTGTTTACTACTCAGTTTTTCCCCCACCCAGAAAATAACACACCATATGAACATAGGTTTCTGAACTTGACAGGAAATGTAGCCTTTCAAGGGGTTCTGTAGGGTGCGCCCTTTTGTTACTAAGGGGAACATAAGTATTTAAATATGTAAAACTAGTGCTGGGAAAATAGCTCAGTGGCAGGGTGCTTTCTAAATGCATGAGGCCCTTGCTTCAGACCCTAACACTGCAGGATGGGTGAGTGGGTGGGTGGGTGGGTGGAAGGATGGACAGATGGATGGATGATGGATTGAAATGTTCATAAGGCTAGGCTAGGATGCTCTAATAAACTCTGATGTGTAGAAGACTTAGTGGAACTTCATGGTCCTTGCTCATTCAGTACTGCCTTCCGGCATGCTTCCCTTTTCCTCTTGGTTTCTACAGCCTGAGCCATCCCAGCAGTCACATGGTCATAAGCATAGTGTATACTCTGTGCCTCAGTTTCATCAGCCCTTCAAAATAGAGCAGTGCCTGTCTCCTCTGCAGACCATAGACAAAGTTGGAATGAAGTCTGTGGTGTATGTCAGGAGTGCATTGTGAATGGTCGCTCTAAGGAAGACTGTTTTCTCACTTCTTTTCAAGTGTCTTGATCTGCTTGATCCCATCGTGTCACAGACCCTCAGGCCTTTCCCTCTGCTCCCTTCACAGTCCCGGCCTTCCTTCTCTTCCTCTCTCCCAGCCACGCACCCTTCACTCAGCCTGGCGTGCGAGCTGCTGCTCACACCACCTTCCCAGGGAGTCCTGGCAGGCTGTGGGTACGCTGCTCCTCTTGAAGCCAGCGCTGCTCCTCTTGAAGCCAGCGCTTCTCTGTGCAGCCTTCTTTACTGTCTCCCTGCTTGATGCTCACGCCAAGTGTCTTTAAGATCTAGTGGCTCCCCAGGCAAGTGAGGCACTGAGCGAGTAGACTGGGAACGCGTCTCCTTGGTAATGTCTAATAGCTACTAGTGTTTAGAGTATGTGTTAACCTACTGAATAGAGTTTATGATACAGTCAACATCTTGACGGCCCTGGTTTATATTTAGCCTTAATAGTGTTCTGTCCTGGAGGAGCCTTAAATCTGTTACCTTTAAGCACATGGTGCTGTAAAGCAGCAGCACTGGGTTGGCCTCCTCAGCTTGACACTAGAGTGCTAGCTACAAGGTAGGGTAGTTTCTTTACTTTTCTACCTTAGTTTTCTTGGCCACACATACAAACTTAGGTTTCTAACCACCTCAGCAGCCTGTCAGTCAGGAGTCTCGGAAATACCTAGGACAGTGCTTGACACACAGTAGGTGCTACAAGAAGTGTTAGTTTTCTTTCCCTGTCACTGTGGGTTAAATAGATATGCTGTTTACTTAAATATGTGATTGGTTTTCTACATCTTTTTTTTTCCAGACCTATTCCATGGCAGTATATCTTGTAAAACAGTTGTCCTCAACAGTTCTTCTTCAGAGGTTACGAGCAAAGGGAATAAGGAATCCGGATCATTCTAGAGCTTTAAGTACGTATGATAAACTTACTTCATATATGTAGCTAAACTATCTTGTTAAGGTTAGGGTAGTGTTGTTGTTTTTTTTTTTTTCAACTCAAATTCGTTTCTTTTTGGGTTTTATTTTGTTTTGTTTTTTTTTACCAGAGCCTGTTATAGAGGATTAAAAACTCCAAGAACCTAGTATTGTGAGCTTGTAAATTAAGATCTAAGGGCAGTTTTAATGTCTTTGCCATGAACTATATTTAATGATCTGTGTTTTACAGATCTTAATATTTACTTTGTAAGGTTGCTTCTTGAACACAGTATTTTTTTAACAGCCTCATAAAACCAATGTTTAAGGAATTTAGGAGATGGAAAGAAAATCTTGGCATGAAATCCAAGAACATTATTTTGGTTTTCAAGAATATTTTAGATCCAGGAGAAATACACAGAATTATATGACGACTGTCCCCTTGCTTTACCAAAGTAAAATGTCAGTGGAGTGGCAGAAATAAATGTTACCTCGGACACATTTCTTCATTCCTTGGTGTCTTCTTATCCTTGCTTGTAATGATAGGTTTGTAGCACATGATTTTTAAAGAATATGTTTTGAGAATTTTATCTGTGTACACAATCACTCACAGACACACACACACACACACACCTCCCCTTTGGATGTTTGGCTTTAATGTGTTAAAATTGAAAAGTAAGTAAGGTCTAAGAGTGGACTTTCCTGGCTTCAAGTTTTGAGCATCAGTGGCTTTCCTAAAGAGGTGGTTTAAGTTCTTCCTCGATTCTCTTTTCCAGAAGTGTGGGCTCTTTGTAGGAGAGTTTCGAGGTGGAGGTGTGGTGCTTAGGAAGCAGCACATTACCCGCAGGAACATGATGGCTGGCCTTGATTCTGTAGCTCAGGCCGGCTTCAGACTTGCTGGGATGCTCCTGTTTCATGTGCTGGAATTCCAGACTGAACCACCCCCTGCATGTAGAGCTCTTAAATGAGTTACCGAAAGCAGCCCAGTCTTAGATTTGCTGTTAGCATCTGGTGAGAAGAATTAGATACTAAAGCCAGCTTCCTCACAGCTCCCAACCTTTGTCCACCCTGTTTCTGTAGCAGAGTGACCAGACTAGAAGACCCCACTACCCCTGGTAAGCAGAGCACCCGAGGTGGTTCACTGGAGGTTTTTTCTGTACTAACAGGATGCTTTTTTGAAAATGCAAAAGGCTGGTCGTGGTGGTGCACACTTGTATCCCCAGCTACTCCTTGGGCTGAGGCAGGAGGATCATTTGAACCAAGAGTCACAGTTGAAGCAAAATGAAAGCATCGTTTGTGGATCTAGGGGAATGGAGGGACCATGAGTCAGAGACAAGAAACAGAGGGCCTGACAAGTGCGAGAGAGGCACCGTCTCTGTCCAGCCTCCATGGGGTTACCCTGACGGGCAGTCTTTGTTCTTGCCTTGCATAGTCAGAAAACATAATGGAATTATGTGCTCAACTGTAGCGAAAAAGACAAATGCCACAGAAGAAGGCAGAAGAAGCTTTTGGATTTAACAAAGTAGGCTGCTTGTGCAGGCTCTTGATTCTTCTACACTGCAGCTAGAGTGTCCTAAAGGTCCTGTCAGGAGGGCCTGGATTGGAGTTTCTAGGAACCTGCCCAGCTACTATTACACAGCAAGACTGCCTAATTGCAAAGCTACTGACTTCACATCTTTCTGCCCTGCTGATCTCAGTGAGGGTTTGATGGCAGTTCTACTTTATCTTCCTTGTTGGCCCAACTGAATGAATGAATGGAATGTTAGTTGGATTCTATCAGTGTTAAATATATTGCAGGCTGGGTGTGGTGGCGAACATCTTTAATGCCAGTACTCAGTAGGCAGAGGCAGAGGCAGAGGCAGACAGATCTCTGTAAGTTTCAAGCCAGCCTGATCTACAGTGCAAGTTCCAGAACACCCAGGGCTACACAGAAAGATCCTGCCTTGAAAAAACAAAGCAAAGAGAAATATATTGCAGTTGACTAAAGGCATTTACCTCTATTACCTGTAAAGAAATAGCTTTTCCAAAAATTACGTAGTTAAAATACTATTTTAAAAGTTATGCAAAAATGAAACTTCTTAGGAATTTTTGAAGCATGGACTTCCTTACAATCATATTGGTCATAGGTCACTGTTAACCTGGTAAGGAAGGCCTGCTGACAGTTTTGTTAGTCAAGTCTATGTGTGATGATGTTCTTAGAATATGTTTGTTAGTATTTAGAATTCAGACTTTTCACTGAGAAAATGCATTCTGTGGGCTGGAGAGATGGTTCATCCAGTAAAAGCTCACAACCAAAATGTTAAAAATGAAGTGAGTTCTGTATTTTTATCCGGGAAATTAAAATGAAGAATCTGCTGTGTTCTAGAAATAGCGGGACAGCATTACACAGGACCTTCTCCATGTATCCCAAAAGTTTACGATCTGATTGAAAGACAGACCCAAGTCACTTAGGAGTTATACTTTTGACGTGAGCTTTGAAGATGGAAGACAGGGAACTCTGAAGAGACGCCACAGGGAGTCTAGTTCTCTGTTCTACTCTGGGATACAGAGGACAGTAATGGGAGTTGAGAGAAGAGAAGTTGTTCTTAAGTCCCAGGATATGAAGGGGGTATGTCCAGGGGGAAAGGCCAGAGAAACTAGAGTATAGAAAAGACTGAGTAGAGCCAGGGTAGGGCGGGGAGACTCTGTGGTAGAAGTCCATCAAAGGGTTCTTACACAGAGGAGTGAGACCGTCAGATTTGGACGGTCTCATCATCAGCTAGAAGATGAGCAAGGAGGGGCAAACAGAGAGGAGTGTAGGAGAGAGCATATGTATGTTAGTGTGTTGGGTGGAAGTCAGAGGACAGCTTTGGGGTCTGTTCTCTCTTTCCACCATTGCATGTGTTCCAGGGGCTGAACTCAGGTCAATCAGGGCTGTACAGCAACTCCCTTACCCCACTGAGTATCTCACTGGCCTGTGTTCTCAAACACTGTATACTACGTCCATGGTATTTTCTAAAGTGGAAATGGTGTTTGAAAGGTGAGACTGTGAAGGAGCCAACTGCCCTCCCTCCCTCCCTCTCCCTCAGATGTGCTGTTTGAGTGCACAGGAGACAGTGCTCAGCCACAGCGCCACATGAGCTGGCCACCTCCCTGTCTTCTACTCATGTTTCTAGTCCCTCTGTCTCCTCAGGTGTCTCCTGACAGCTCTACTGATATGTCTTTCTCATACTTTAAAGCTCTGCTGCTTACTGGGCATGGTGGTGTACACCTTTAATCCCAGCACTTGGGCAGAGGCAGGTAGATCTCTTGAGTCAAGACCAGCCTGGTTTGCAAATTGAGTTCCAAGCCAGCCAGGACTAGACAGTGAGACATTATCTCAAAAAACAAGCAAAACCTAAAAAAACCTCTGCTGCGTGTCTGTCCTATTGCTCAGCAAAGAAAGTCTATTGCTCTGTGTACACATAGTGTTGGAGCCCCACAGTTCCCTCTCAGTGTGCTTAGGCAGTGACCACAGTCCTGTTCTTACTGCTCTGGCTAAAGCACTACATGCTTTCTGTATTTGATACCAACCTCTTTCTCTTTGAAATTGTCTCCTCCCTCTTCTGACTTCACCCATCTTCCATCTGTGGACTCTTGGAGAGAAGCTTCCTAATGGTGGGCATGGTGGCCTTTAATCCCAGCAGGGGGAGACAGGTAGATTGTGAGTTAAGGGGCCAGCCAGGGCTAAGCAGTGAGACTCTAGGGGCTCAGGTGGGAGTAAATGTCCCTGGGAATTCCATGCTATTCCACTTTTCACATCCACTGTCTCTGCTTAAACTCATGCTAACCCCCAAATACAAATCCTCGTTCAGGTCTCTCCTCTAGCTTCAGATTCCATAGGCTGGCTGTCTTGAACTAAACATTGCTCTGCTTATTAGAATCAAGAATTGAAGAATCCGGGCTGGGCGATGGTGGCGCACGCCTGTAATCCCAGCACTTGGGAGGCAGAGGCAGGCGGATTTCTGAGTTCGAGGCCAGCCTGGTCTACAGAGTGAGTTCCAGGACAGCCCGGGCTGCACAGAGAAACCCTGTCTCAAAAAAACAAAAAACCAACAACAACAAAAAACCCACAGTCCTAAATGATGTTTTAAAGCATTTCTTTCTGTTATTGGCTTTTCTTGTCTCTTTCCTGGTGACAGCCTGACTTAGTGGCACACAGCTGGTCTTACCATCCTCTTTCATCCTCTGAACTCCTAACACCAGTGGACTAATGGCTTCATTAGTGCAACGTACAGCCCTGTCCATTGCAAAAAACCACCATGTTTTCTCTCACTTCGTCCCTCCTCGGTGCTGGAGTGTTCTCTATGCCTCACACCTTCTAGCTGCTTCTACTGCCAGGGGTCCTTTTCTTCCCAGACCCTCTAGGGTCTCGAGATGCCTGTCAGCTTGGGTGGACCTCACTAAGCAGCTTCTGCTCCCTCTCAGTTCTTCTTGGAGTCCTCACTACCTCACACAGTGCCTTGACACATAGTGAACTCTCACAGTTTGTTGTTACCGTTCTAGTTTGTGACATCACATTTGTGATCTTCCTGCCACAACTTCCCACATGCTGGGAAGACAGAGTGGAGACATGTGCTTCTGTGCTCAGTGATTGCTGTGAACTGATAAAAAGAAATGTAGAGTCAAAATCGGGGCTTCAAAGCCTTCTGTTTTCTGGCCTAGAGTGGAAGGTTAAACTTAGTATGCTTAGTTGTTTTCTGCTCTAAAAGACTGAATTATTCTGAAATTAATGAGGGAGAGAAATCAAACAGTTACGATCCAGAACAGCACCATCTAGTAGAAGAGTCTGAAACAGTTGTACAGTTGTGTGGTAGTCACCAGCAGCGTGGCTGTTGAACATAAATGAGACTCGTATAACTAAGGCACTGAGTTTCAGATTAGCTATTCCAGTTGTCAAGTACAGTCAGTCTCATGACTAACGCTGGTAGCCATAAGAACAGAGATTCATTAGCAAGATGACTTTTATAATAGCTAGCTTTAGTACTACTTTAGTCATGAAGTGGTACGCCTACCACTGCAGACCATAGTCTGGAGGACTAGCCACAGTTCGTAGGGCATAGTTCTTAGTGGGGTGCAGAGCTTTGCTTTTCCTGCCTCCTTGTTATCCAACTGTTCGAACCATGTTGCTTTAAAGGAGTATTTTTCCTTCATTTAATTTCTTTGGCTTTTTATCAAAAGCTGATTGACCATAGGTATGTGAATCTATTTCTGGACACTTCTGTTGGTCACATTTTCAATTACTGCAGCTTCTTAGCAAACCTTAAAAACAGTCTCCCTGCTTTTTCATTTTCAGAGTTATTTTGACTATTATAAGTTCCCTATAAAAAATTATGTTCTGGGAAGTTGGTTGAACATTAGAAAGTTAATCTATAATTCACTTTTTGTGGAAAAAAAAAATATCTCCAAAGATGCAGAAGAGGCAGCTGGCTAAATTTCACATCTATTCCTGATTTAAAAAAAAAAAAACCTCTCAGCAAAATATTAATGGAACAAGAAAGGAACTGCCTCAGTATTACAAAACATTTACAGAAACAAGCTTAAGTTAGTATCATAGTTAATGGTAAAAACTTGAATCTTCTAAGACTGTGACTAAAGTTAGAGTATTGTGCCTAGCGTTACCCTGGAGGTCCTAACCAGCACAACAAGGAAAGAGAAGAGAAAGATGAGAGATGCAGAAATTATTATCTTTATTTGCAGATTATTTGCACAGAAAAAAGCCCCTAGGACTCACTAAAGAAACTGTTAGAACTAATACATGAGTTGGAAAATTTGTGATCAGTATATATAACTGGATTGTATTTATTATTAATCCATTACTGGACAGTGTAGAAATTCAGACAGCTAACACATCCTTAGAGGTGTGTGGTGTAGATCCTGAAAACTATGAGAAACCCAGCAGAAGACCTGAGGTAGATTAAAAAGCCAAGATGTAAGTGGAACAGAAGGCTCAGCATGATTTTATGCTAGTTCCCCAGGTTCATTTAGAGGTCCAGTCCAGCTAAGACCCTAGTAGGGTCTTTGACAGTATCTCTACCAGAGAATGACTAAGTGCATAGCTCCATGGAGAGCACTCACTGTCTTGCTTAGCAGGTGAAAGGTTCAGTCCCTAATTGCAAGATCTGCCTTATTACGGATTTACATTAAGAATATAGTAAAGTTAGTCATTTTCTTCGGTTTAAAAAGAATCCCAGACTTTTTAACCCATGTTCTAAGTAGCTCAGTTGGTAATAAAACTGTTTCTCAGGAAATGTATTTCCGTTCTGTCACTCCTTATAACAGCCTCTGGGAAGATTATTCCACCACCTTTGTAAGGCTGGTTGTGTCAGCATTGGCCAAGGTAGCTTAATAAATGATATTTCTATTTGACACATGCTGTTACTGCTTCACACGCACTGCCTCACACAACCCTTTTTCTGATATTCCAGTACAGCAGATCAGCTAGCCATTCTCCTTCAGGAGCTGCCAGATGGTCCGCCTGTTGACCATGGCCTTCCCCTGCGGCCGTTGGGAGCAGAGATAACTGATATATTGTGGGATAGACTGGAACCCTCAGGCTGGAGCAGCTGAGCTGCTTTCAACTGATACAGAGCCTGCACTACCTCACATATAACATGTATTTTTGTAAGTGTAGGATTGGGTCTGATAAATAGCAAAGGAGAGTCTGTCTGTTTGCTTGTTGTAATAGAAATCCACAAATGTAATTTCAAAAACTTTATCTCCAAGAGAGAGGGAACATGCAAATTATTTTAAGTAAGAATTGCTAGCATTGATTAAATATATTAGGTACTTTAATACATGTTTCATTGGGTTAAACTCATTTAATCCAATGCTGTGAGATAGCTATTCTCATTTACCAGGTTATGAAAAAAGTTACTAAAGTGACTTGACAAATCAGAATTCTGACTTTGTGATTCAAGGAACTGTTGTCTTACTGCCTGCCCAATGTGGCCTCCTCTGTAGCTACTGAGTTTTGATTTCAAGGCTGATACTACACTGTTGCTGCATTAAGTACAAGTTTACACACAGCCCAGTCTGTTAGTGTCCCATTACTGTGTAGGAGGAGGGTGCTGCTGGCCCAGTTGGGAAAGGCATGCAGAATGGATGGTGTCTTCCTCAGGAGTCTCTAGAGCGAGTGAGAACCAGGAGGATAAAAATAGAAAGACTGGGAGGGAGAAAATAGTAGAGGCACTGGCTTACCTGCTTATGGAGTCTGAGAGTTCCACAGGGTCGTCTGCAGGCTGGAGACAGGAAAGCATGACTGAGCACAAGTCCAAAGGCTCAGAGAAACCAATGATGCAACTCCCAGCTGATGGCTGCAGAGCCTTGGGGTGCTGGGGTGAATACTGAGACCCAAAGGCTGAGTTCCAGCGTTTCTTCTCTTCTGTCCTCTCCACGTGCCAGTGTCTCCCTTACACATTGAGGGTGAACTCAAATGCCAGTGTCTTCTCAGACATCCTCAGAGACACAGTTATTTGTTGTTTCTGGGGAGTGGGGAGTTTTTGTTATTGCTATTTGTGATTTTGTTTTGTCTTGTGACTGGGGTCTCATACTGTAGCCCAGGCTATCCTAGAATTCACTATGTAGACCAGGGTGGCCTGGTCTTATAGCAGTCCTCCTGGGATTACAAAGACACTTTGCCCTGCTAGTTAAGTTAGTGTTCTTTCAAATTATTATATAAAGAAGGATTAGCTAAGGTTGGATAAATAACTTCCTAATTTATATTTGTTGATATTAAAGTGTCTTGATGGCTCTATTTTCCAAACTAAAGTCTAGAGGTCTTAGGGGCCTTTGGGGATATTAAAGTCAGCCTAAGAATAAGAAATACATACAGACTTTGAAAACTTCAGATTTCCAGTCTACAAAATAACTTCTTAGTCTGGCATCAGAATCTGTGGAGCTTTTTAAACCACCCATTCATGTCCCTCTTCCCTAGTCTAATGTGATCAGTTACAGAATAGAATGTTCCAGATGTAACTCAGATGTGCTTCTATGTTGAGATTCTGTAGTGTGAGACAACTCCTCAGTAGACTGACCAAAACTTGTCCATCTAAAAATTCCAAACCACACAGCATGATCACATGCTTCATAAAGGCTGGCTTCTTAGTTCTGTCGGCAGTCAGCATCCAGACATCTGCTTCTCAGTCTGTGCTTCCCGTGTTACCACCGCGGTCATAATCATTGTTCAATAGCTCTGAAACTGTAGTTGGGTGTGCTTACCACCACTCCACCTCAGGCTCCTATGTATAAGCTTGTTAGAATATTTTCTCTGAACATTTCCTAACTCAGTGTTGGTTCCTGTCATCAGAGGTGACTGCTGCTACAGGTTTACACATGTTGTTTTAGTCAGTGATCTATTGCTGTAGAGAGACACCATGACTGAGGCAACTCTTACAAAGAGAAGTGTTTAATTGGGGGCTTACTTAACAGTTTCAGAGGCTTACTCCGTTATCATCATGGCAGGGAGCATGAAGGGCCCATGCTGGAACAGTACTGAGAGCTAAATCTTGGTTTATTGGGTGGGGGGGACGGACAGAGAGACAGAGACAAACAGGGCTTGGCTTGGGCTTTTGAAACCTCAAAGCCCACCCCCAGTTTCACGCCTCTTCCCATAAGGCCCTACCTCCTAATCCTTCTCAAATATTGCCACTCCCAGGTGACCAAGCATTCAAATATCAAATATATGAAGCTGTGTGGGCCATTCTTACTCAAATCGTCATACATGGGAAGTATAGAGTCTTTTATAGTAAACTGGGGAATAAAAGAATAGCCATGAAAAGTAAAAGTATTAGTACCCCTTCTTTGAAAACTGTAGAAGTTGGAACTGAAAAGATGTAGAGTATCTGGTGTGGCTTCTGGGTTTAATGTAAATAACATTAGCGGAAAGAGGCAGATGTACTTGCTAAAGACAACTACAGGTAAATGACTCAGGTACATGGACTTGTTCTTTTATAATTTGAAAGTAAAGTTAGTATGGTTATAATGTTTTGTTCACTTTCTGGCCATGCAAACTTTTTTTTTTGTCATATTCTTTATTTCCTTTAAAATAAAAGATTGCAAATTAATCATAATTTTAAAGAAAATCATTAGTATCTTTTGAGTATTAACTAAGAAAGGCCAACCATCCCTGGAACACAGAAGCTGCTGTAGGACCAACTCCCTGTGGGCCGTGATGCAGTACCAGGGCTTTGCAGGAGCTTCAGCTAGCTACAGAGTAAGGCCCTCCTTCCCTTGCTTACTGTGAAGGGCAGAAGCCATGTAACTGCCCTTAGCTTTCCAGACAGGTGATTTGGAAGATCATTGTTTAGGTTATTTTTAGGTTGTTAAGGTTTTAAGTTTTAAGCTTCTTTGTCAGTGTTATATTAGTAATGTTTTTAATAAAGTTGTTGTACTGTTTTCTCTCCAATGCATTTCAGTTAAAGAGAAGTTAACTGCAGATCCAGATAGTGAGATAGCTACCACCAGCCTACGGGTTTCGCTGCTGTGTCCAGTAAGTGTTTGCTAATGCTTGCCTTCAGTATATACACTTGTTTCTACTGAGTGTGAGGATTCTGCTTACTTTAAGAATCTCCCATTCTACACTATCAGAGTTTATCAAAATGGAAAGACACTGAAGCATAGGACTGTGAGCTGAATAACTGTAAAGTGTGCCTTTATTCACAGTGTGTGTTATCTAAATTCTGCCTTCAGTAAGCAGCAGTTCTCAGGTTCCAGTTAGAAGACCAGAGTGGGGGTGCTGGGGTGTGTCCATACTCCACTAATTCAAACAGGGCGTTGCTGGATAAAAACGAAGCACAGTCACCCACATCACAATTTAACCATTTTGTCAACAGTAGCTATAAGAACCCACCATTTAAAGCCTGTGCCAGCCCGCTGTGGCACATGCCTTTAATTCTAGCATTTGTAGGCAGAGACAAGTGAATCTGAGTTCAAGACTAGCCTGGTTTCTGTATCGAGCTCCAGGATGAATTTGTCTTCAAAAAAATTAAAAACAACAACAAACACAAAATAAAAAAATGATGCTATTCCTAGTACTACACACACACACACACACACACACACACACACACACACACACACACACAGCGCACCAGGCCTGAAGACCCATGCCTATGATTCCAACACTTGTGGGGATAGGGCTCAGGCAGATGGATTACCATAAGTTCAAGGCCAGCTAAGTTACCATAGCAACACCTTATCTTAATTTAAAAAGAGGAGGAGGTGAAAGGAAATTCTGTTCTACTTGACTGAATTCCTTACACTTATAGAATTAACTTAATACTTATAAGCCAGAAAGGGAAGGAACAGTCATTTGAATGAGACAATTTTAAAGTCATCAGATTTTAACCAAATGATTAAAACTATAAGCAAAATATTGTGTTGAAGTTCATTTCATACCTAATGTGTTGGTGACAACCCACTAAGATTAGGGATGGCAGTTGAATATTACCTTTATAGGAAAGAAGGTGAAGATTAATAATAAACTGCTGACATTTTGGTTAATCAAGTTAACCATATTCAAATGTATAAAGAACGAAAGGACACTTGTCTCCTGATTTGCCTTGACTGTTCAGGAAGGTAGTGTCATTGAAAGCTTTCAGCATCGAGATCCTGCTAACCTAAGAGGTTGGTGCTTTCTTGTTCTTTTAAGAAGCAACAAGTTTTATAAAAACTTAAATGTTACTTATCCTTTACCTTAGCCTAGTATGCTTACTAAGCCTTGCCTCAGATATCAAGTCATCGGTGTATGGTTAATTCTGTCATTCCATGTTTCCTAAAGCCGGGTCCCTCCCTACTCTTTACACACCCTTATGGCCATAGAAGAGACACAGTGCAGTTAGCAGCCACTGTGTCCTTTTGCCATGGCTGTGCCATCCGTTCTGTGAGCAACTTCCCTTCTGAGGCCTCTTTGTAGTCTGTCTTCCTTAAGAAAAGTATTATTACTATTATTAAAACTTCTTCAATAACCAGATAAATGTTAAAGAATCATAAAATTGGTTCAAGATCAGGAAAGTAGGTGAGGAAAAAAACTTTAAATAAAATCATTTAAAATAACATATCTCATTCTTTGTCTCCAAACCCTGACTTAACCTATTCCCTTCTTCATGGTTTCTTGCTGCTTCATTTCATTGTAAAGCCCCAGATGAGAGGATTTGATAAATTTAGAAGACCACAGAAGCTCCATTTCCCACTTATATCACTAGAGGGGTCTGTGTCTCTGCATTCCCATCTTAAAAGTGTTTACAGCTGCACTAATGTGTAATATTTAGAACACTGAACAGTCACACAAAGTGTGTTCATATGGAGAAGCAGCCCGCTGTATGTGGCAGCAGTTTTAGTCATTCGGGGGGATTCAGGTGCTTTCCCCATGTTACTGGGAAATAAGGATCACATTTTGCTTCTGAGCCAGCTTCTAATTTGATGTCCCCCTGTGCTCCTCTCTCATTAGTTCAAACAATTTCAGCAGTTCATTGTAAATTAGCATCTGCTTTCAAAATTCAGATTATAAAAAAGCTACTATGTGTAATATATAATTACAATATGTCATGAGTTTCTATTTGGCTAAAGAGATAATTCCCCCTACAGTTATGCCAGAATAGCAAGGCCATATATTTTTAGGTATGTTTTTGCTCAAAAATAAAATACAGTTGTGATAGCTCATCTATATATCAAATTTATGGAATCATAAAAAGAGATTTGTTCTTTGAAATATGTAAATATGCTGTCTGACTGTGCATTTCTATTTCTCTTTTGTAATATGCAGAGCTCAGAATAAATGAGTTTCTGTTATTTGTGTGCCATTTAGCTAAAGGCAACAAAAATAATTAAAATGCTTTTTCTCTTTGAGGATTGTCGGTTCTAATTTATTAAGAACAGAGACGGAAATGTTGAGAAGTCAGATGTGAGCTGTTCCACAGACTTGTAAACCCAAACACAGATCATTTAGAGTTGATAGAAGAGAGAAAATAAACTAGAAATTTATTTTATGAGTACTTATTAGTATAAAAAAACTAACGAGATTTTTTTTTAATATCAATCAGACTTTCTTATTATACGAAGAAGTACATGTTGTCATGACATTGTAGACGCCTGCTGATATAAGCGCCTTTATGACTAATATTTTTCTCATGCAGTGTCATGAGCTGTAGCACGGCTGAGTAAAGTCAGCCTCACTAGAAAACATGGGGGACTTGTTTATGTTTATCTGTCGATACTGCAGAGACACCCGTCTTATCCTTCAAAGGGAAGAGAACTAACTTTGTAATCAAAAAAAGTAAACGTACTTAGAGCTTACACCTTCTGACATCATATTAGAAACAGTGGGTGCCTGTTTGTCTGGTAGGCACTTACATCTAGTGGTTGATTTTAAAACGAGAGATAAGAGGATTCTTCACATAAGTGCTGTGTAATGGTTCTTTGAGATGGCATTTGTGGTATAGCTACAAAAAGGCCGTACATTTGAACATGAGCTTCTGGTTTCTTATGCCATTTATAACTGTCATTCCTGTTTACCTGTCAGTTTGCTTTCAGACTGTAGGTCACCTTGTCAGTGAAGCTCACCAGAGGATTGTTCTCTTGCCTCTGTGCACAAAGGGCTAACAGAACAGCTTCCTGACACTCTTTACTGAACTTATGATTCCATTCTTATGATTCGATTTCCATAAACATGTGAAAAAAGGCCAGAGAGCAAATTAGTTCTGGCAATAGAAGACCCATTGCTTGTTTGCCATTATCTACGGCATTTATTAATCCATCAGCAGTTTCCAAGGTGTTCACCCTTTTATTTTTATATACTTTTAGTGGAGAGCCATTTGTTTGTTTTTTTGAACTACAGGATCTTATTGCCCAGTCTGGTCTCAGACTCATTATTCAGACGGAGAATTACCTTGAACAGCTTCCCTTTCCAAGGGCTGGGATTCCAGAACCAGATCTGTGAGTCACAGTGCTAGAACTCAGGTGGCTTGCTTGTTAGGCAAATATTGTACTGACTACATCTCAGCCCCAAATTCAGTTTTTATATCTTAAATTAGACCTTAACTGTGAAATGCAGATTTCCACTGGCTGCTTAATATTCCATGAAGGAAGCATAGGCTGAGAGTTGAATGGGGGCTCAGTGCTAGCATATCAACTCCCTGCCCTAGAGCTGTGGGTCCCCCCTTGATGCTCATACAGACAGGAAGGAAGGTGGCAGGATCCAAGCAAAAGCCTAGGGCTTTATTTACACTTTGAAAGAGATAGTTCTTAAAGGCTTTCCTTTCAGGTGCCTTTATTCCTATAGTCCCCAGTGTCTTCACATCTTTCAGACATAGTTTCTCCTCAGACTGCTCGCATGCACAGCTGACAGCTTATCAGTACAGGAGACTATTATCCCACACTGTAGTAAGTACTTTTCCAAAGGTGGGGGCAAGGACAGAAGTCTGACGTGTTTTCAGTAGGAGATACACAAAGAAATGAAACAATAGAATCTTGTTCAAGAGCAGAGCTTCGCACAGAGAAGGGCACTCTCACTTTACTCCTGGTCCTCCTCTCTGTGCTTTGAACATGATAATCGATGTTCCTCCTGGCTTAAGTTGTTAGCATGTTTGGAGTACTGTTTAAATTCTTTATCACTACATCTGGTGGAAGTGGAGAGGAAATGGTGCTACTTTCTAGGTAGAAAAGGAGGCCCAGAAAGGTTAAGTGTCTTCCCTAGAAGCACAGTAAATCATTGGAATCAGAACAATAATTTAGGACCCTGTGACGGTCGGTTTCCTTGGTAGACAAGGAAATTACACGTTTCCCTGAAATTTTTCTAAGCCAAGAACCTTTTCCTCTTTTAACTCAAAAACATATGGAAAGTCTTTTTCCATGAACTTAACAAATAACGTCATTATAGAGAGTGAGTAGCCTAGAAAGTGAGTAGACTGCCCGCTCTGCGGCCGTCGTGGGCTTGGAAGCCCTGTAGTGGTGATGGAGGGAGAGCGTGATACAGTCCTCCTTGTGCAGGTCCTCAGCAGTGTCCCTGCCTTGGGCCCAAGCAAGCAGTGTAGGGTTAAAGAAGACCTCCGCGTGTGGAATAGCGTCAGCTTGTGTCGGCTCAGTCCACAATTACTGGGCAAGAAAAATGTCCCCAAATATACTAACTGATGTCTGAGAGCCGGGGGCTGTTGGCTTTATGACGCTGCCCAGTGGGGAGAGCGATTCCCAGTGCACATCTGTCTTCAGTGCTGCCCCAGCCATTGTACCTCACACCATGGAGGATGTGGGTGAACGATTTGGGCTTCATCCTATGACCTGAGTAATCATTCAGAGACGAGATTAGAGTCCGTGCTTACCTCTCTGGCTTCTTTTCTCTAAGTAGATGGTTCTTAACTTTTTTCAGGTCAAAGACTGATTTAAGAGAGTGAGAGTGTGAGAGAGCTAGAAATGCAGCTCAGTGGGAAAGTGCTCGCCCAGCAAGCATGCGGCCCCAGGTTCAGCACCCGCTCACAAGCGCTCGCACACACACCTGTGAGAGCACATTCAAAGGGATGCAGACATTCCCAACAAGAAACTCGCTGTAGTCAGTAGATGGTAGTAAATAGCTCTTATGGTAGACTATCCATAGTCACTGTGTTTGATATCCAAACATATACTGTAGTACTTAAACCTTCAGGTAGGTTTCTCAAAAAAAAAAAGTTTTATTTTCTTCCGTAGTAGTGAAACACACACATAGAGCATGCTTTTTATATTAACATTTGTACTTTTTAAAAATTAAAATGTAAGTATAACATTTTCTCATTTCCCTTTACTTTTTCTAATCTCTCTGAAGTACCTCCTCCCCTGCTCACTCCCAAAATCACAACCTCTTTTCTTTGTTTTTACACACACACACACACACACACACACGTTTGTGTGTCTAATGTATGTATGTATGTATATACACACAAAGACACATATGCCTAAATATATAAATACAACATCCTCAGTCCATATGATGGACTGTTACTTGTAGGTGGATAATTTCAGAGCTGGTCATTTGATGCCTGATAACCAGTTAGGGGAATTAGTCTTCCCTGGGGAAGAGCGTTTCTTCTAATCTCAGCTTCCTTCAATTGTCTCTACATAGTTCTTTGTCTAGGAGTGGGCCCCCATGCAGGATTTTCCTGTAGTATGTCTGTGGTATTACCCTTATTCAGGTCTCTTTAGACAGCCATGTTGCTTTAGTATCAAAAGCTCCCCTAATGTTTCTAGGAAATAGTCTAGGCAAATGTCCTGCTTCTCTGGCTCCTACACTCTTTCTGCCTCCTGTTCATGGCATTAACTGAGCCTTAGGTACAAAGGTTATGAACACAACACACTTTAAATCACAGTACATGCTTATTGTGTTTCGGGAAGTTATTATGACAGCCTAAGTTTTCAACAACACACACTGATATTGACCTTTCCCTTTCTTAAAGCTTGGGAAAATGCGACTGACAATTCCCTGCCGGGCACTTACCTGTTCCCACCTTCAGTGTTTTGATGCAACTCTTTATATTCAGATGAATGAGAAAAAACCAACATGGGTTTGTCCTGTCTGTGATAAGAAGGCCCCATATGAACACCTTATAATTGATGGGTATGTATGTTTATGTATCTCTTCTTGTCTTAGTCAAGTGTGTTACCATGCGGCTTGAGATGAAACCTAGATAGAGGTCATTTGTTTCAAAGATATTTGTTTATAGAATTTTCATTATTCTAGAAATCAGTATGTAATTAAAAGTGAGTAACCAGTATTGTAAATACTTTTCATCTTTTAGGGTTAAAAAAACATTTATTTGGGAAGGTACATTGTGAACATATGGAAGACAACATTGCAAAGTTGGTTCTTTCCTTCTACTGTGTATGTTTTAAGGATCCAACTTGGGCTGTTAGGCTTGGTGGCAGGAACCTTTCCGCCATTTTGGTGTCCTTCCCCTCTTTAAAACATTTTTTTTAAAGTTTTTCTTTTAAGATTTATTTATTTATTTATTATATGTAAGTACACTGTTGCTGTCTTCAGACACCCATATGAGGGCATCAGATCTCATTGCAGATGTTTGTGAGCCACCATGTAGTTGCTGGGATTTGAACTCGTGACCTCTGGAAGTGCAGTCAGTGCTCTTAACCGCTGAGCTATCTCACCAGCCCTTAAAACATTTTTTAACATTGATTTTATTTATGGGTGTGTGTAGTCTGCTTGCTGTTGCTGTGAAAACACATGCTTTTTTCTTTTTTTTTTTTCAGCACCGTCTGTTTATTATTTTAAAACAGTAGTTCTAAGCAGACACTGTGTGTGTGTGTGTGTGTGTGTGTGTGTATTGAGTACATCTAAGGCCAGCAAAATGCATTAGGAGAATACATGTTCAAATTTTGAGATTCTGGCTAATTCAAACACATCCAATAAATAAACAAGCAAACAAATAAACAGCGTTTGGCTTAGCAGTTCAGAGCTGCACTGCTTTTTTTTTTTTTTTTTTTTAGATTTATTTATTTTATTTATGAGTACACTGTAGCTGTCTTCAGACACACCAGAAGAGGGCATCGAATCTCATTATGGGTGGTTGTGAGCCACCATGTGGTTGCTGGGATTTGAACTCAGGACCTCTGGAAGAGCAGTCAGTGCTCTTAACCGCTGAGCCATCTCTCCAACCGCTGCACTGCTTTTATAGGTCACCCAAGTTCAGTTCCCAGCTCCAGTGGATCCGATGCCCTTTTCCGTACTCTATGTGCACATACACCCCCCACACAAACACATAATTTAAACAATTTGTAAATAATGCAGTTTCTTTTCCGAGTTGGGCTTTGTAGTAGAAGCTTGGCTTCTGTCCTGTCCACCAAGCCCTTGCTCTCCATTGTCAGGGCTCCCTGCCCAGGACAGCCAGCTTACAGCAGTTCCCATCGTTCTGCTGCTGCTTCTGTTTTAGCCCCGTCTTTTCCCTTCTGTGTCTCTTTCTCCGTCCTCACCACTGCAGCACAGTGCGCAGCAGTTCTTGTCAGCCATTTGTCTATTGGTTCTGACCTGTTGATATTTGGCTGTGAGTCTGCCACTCTCCTTAGGTTTCTGTTTGCCTTTTTGCCACTGAACAAGAAACAAGGAAATAGATTGTGAAAGGGGAGAAATAAATCCCTCCCTCCCTAATATTTCTAGTATTCTTCAGCAAAGCACTCAGCAAGACAGTTTATTTATAGTATATGAGAAAACATAAGAGCTTTGAAGGCAGTAATACACGGAATTGAATGTATGTATCAATAGACTTACAACCCAAAGCTTTAAAAATGTCGAGTCTCGGAAGAATATGAGTAAATAGTGTTTCCTTTTGGATTTTTCAGAAATGAAATGATAACTAACTTGTAAATTTAGATTAATAGTAATATTTTGCCAGCTCTGTATGGAATATATTTTAGTTCTTCCTTTTCTTATAATACAGATCTCTCTCACTCTCTCAAAAGCAGAACAGGAAATAAAAGTCATTTTAATAAAATTTCTGGTTTAGTTTTTACATAAATTTTGATTACATGCTATTAATAATTTTTAGTCTTTGGTTTCATTTAATATTATGGCTGAGTAATTCGGCCACAATGAATTTCTTGCACTCCTTATAAATATTCTTTTAGTATCAATGTATTTTGTTTGGATTTAACTGTTGGTTGGACATTTTATTTACATATACGTGTGTGTGTATGTGTGTGTGTACCTTCAGTTTATCAAATAAGATCTTGTGAGCAGTTTGCAAGCATAGAACATAAAGTATAAAGAAAAAAGCTGAATATATATAAAGTCACCACCTAGAGATAATTAGTGTGTGCTTTTATTCATACACAGAATCTTGTTTTGAGATATGTTTTTCCTTAACCATCTTAGTTTTTGTGGACATTTTTCTGTCTTTAGAACTCTTGGGGAGATAAGGCACTTGCTGCCAAGGCTGACAACCTGAGTTTCGTTACTCAGAACCCACAGGTAGAAGTAGAGAACCAACTTGTACAAGTTGTCTTTAGACCTCCACATATGCACTGTGGCACCTACCCACCCATATAACACAAACTAAAATATTTTTAAGTTGTCATTTTTTTTCCCAAGCTACATGACATCTTTACATAAACGGTCCCCAGTTAGCGTCACTGTTTCCCATTTAGCACACGTGAGAACAAATGTAGTCTGTCTGCTCTGCTTCCCTTTCTTCCATTGACTTCTCATGAAACACAGACAGTCTAAGTGTCCTGAGTTCTGGTTCTGGTTCTCACTTCTCTTCACTTAAAACATGTTCTGTTGCTGATCTAGGTTGTTTATGGAAATCCTGAAGTACTGTACAGACTGTGACGAGATACAGTTTAAGGAGGACGGCTCATGGGCTCCGATGAGGTCAAAAAAGGAAGTGCAAGAAGTCACTGCCTCCTACAATGGAGTCGACGGTGAGTGACTTCCCATGGCCCCGGGTGGTTGCTGCTGTGCTGCACGCTGGTTTTTAATATTGGGATGCAGACTGTTGAAATTACTGAGCAGTACAAATAGCTCAATAAGTCTTAGGTTATTGATTAAATGTCCACAAATAGCAGGACTCCTTTTAAATCAATGTTTTTGCCAGCCTTAAGGTTTTATGGTGCTAGAGTTGAAAGCAGTCTTAAGTCACTTTGAAAGTCATCGTTCTGAAGCACCTGCCTTTTTAAAAGTTTGAATGCGTTTGCCTTTGGTGCAATGTAGTGAACAGTGCTTTTTTCCTTCTTTCTTTTCTTTTTTTTTTTTTTTTTTCATTTAGTTTTGTTTTGTTTTAGACTTTGAAGTCTCATTTTTTTTTTTTTATTCACTTGCCTCTGCCTCCTGAATGCTAAGACCAGAGGTCTGCAGCACCGCACTCAGCTGCTTTTTCCTTTAAACATTTACGTTTATGTGTGGATACATTTGACTTTTGGTGTTTTGTTAGCAGAGGACCAGCATTTTCTAGGTATTTTAGATGCTGTATAGATAAACATGTAACACACAGTCCTGCTCTAAAACTACTCTTATTCTAAAGTAGATATAAAAGATAATTTTTTTAAACAAGATTTCTCTATGTATACAGCCCTAGCTGTCCTGGAACTCACTATGTAGGCCAGACTGGTCTTGAACTCATAGAGAGAGATCTTTTGCTTCTGCCTCCAGAATTCTGGGATGAGTAAAGGCTTTAAGATATCTTTTTGATTATTCTAATTCAAAGTGACTTTTCAAAATAATTCATTAACAACTAATAAAAAAGCCACAATTCTCAATGCAGTAAAGCAGAGCTACCTTACTGCCTTACTCTGTTCTCATAGTGTTGCTTTGCTAGACTGCTGTGCTCGCCTGCAAGGACACTGAGGGAAGGGGAGGACTGACATGTTCTAATCTTTTGTTCTAATCATTCCCACACAGGATGCTTGAGCTCCACATTGGAGCATCAGGTGGCTTCCCACAACCAGTCCTCAAGTAAAAACAAGAAAGTCGAGGTGATTGACCTCACCATTGACAGTTCATCAGATGAAGAGGAAGAAGAACCCCCTGCCAAGAGGACCTGTCCTTCCCTGTCTCCTACATCACCACTAAGTAATAAAGGGTGAGTGCTGCTAGGACCTTTCCAAAACACTCCTGTGCCAAGGAGGTAAAGATTGCCAGGTAAACCATTGTGTCTGAGAACAAAATGCAGACAGACCTCCCAGGGACGTGGCATTTTTGAGGAAGTAAAGTACTGCTCTCCAAGAGTCTGTATAGAGGACTCGTCATGTCAAGAGAAGTTTCCGGGCCTAGAGAGATGGCTCAGCAACTCAGAGTACTTGGTGTTCTATCCTCGGTTCCCAGCACCCACATGGCGGCTCACAGCTGCCTGTAGCTTCCGCTCCAGGGGATCTGACAATACCATCTGGCCCCCAAGGCTGTACGTTCCCTCACACAGTTTTTAAGATGATTCTGGTGCATTTAGTAGTTCTGATGCATGTGAGGATCACCAAGAATCTTTTTTTTTTTTTTTTTTTGCATTTGACCAGTTTCTTTTGTTAAGACTGTTTTATTTGTGTGTATGTGAATGTCAGAAAACAACCTTCAGGAGTTGCTTCTCTCCCTCCACCATGTGGGTCCCAGGATCAAACTTAGATTACCAGACCTCATAGCAAGCGCTTTTACCTACTGAGCAATCTCACTAGCCCTCATTTAACCAATTTTTGATTAATATTGTAAATAAACTTGCTCTTGGACCAGGTGTGGTGGGATACACTTTTTAATCTCAGTACTTGGGGAGGGCAGAGGCAAATGGATCTCTGAGTTCCAGGACAGCCTGGTAAATATAATGAAACCCTATCTCAAAAATAAAAGAGGGGGCTGGAGAGATGGCTCAGCGGTTAAGAGCACTGACTGCTCTTCCGGAGGTCCCGAGTTCAAATCCCAGCAACCACATGGTGGCTCACAACCATCCGTAATGAGATTGGATGCCCTCTTCTGGTGTGTCTGAAGACAGCGACAGTGTACTCATCAATAAAATAAATAAATAAATATTTAAAAAATAAATAAATAAATAAATAAATAAAAGAAAGGGGTGGGGGGGAAGGAAGGGAAGGAAGGAAGGAAGGAAGGAAGGAAGGAAGGAAGGAAGGAAGGAAAGAAAGAAAGAACGAACGAACTCTTTCCCTATGTCCTCTCCTCATATTTGAGGTGTGGCTGTCATTTCAGGATCTGTTTACAGTCATTGTCCAGTGTTAGTCTGGAGTAGCCATCTTGTTGGGGTGTGTACCACATGAGCAGGTGACCACTAGCCTTTCCCAGTAGGCTTGTTCAGTGTAGATAGTACATCTCTTCTGTGAACTCTGACTGCTCTGCCATTCTGCTGACCTTCGTGACCAACCAGACTCAGACAGAACAGTGCACATCTATCTTATTTAGTGCTTGGGAAACAGGGCAAGACTGATCTTCTCTGAATGGGAGGAGGTCCATTGAAATGCCTTTCCCAGTTCTGCCTGGGTCAGGAACCACAAAGGATTAGACTTCATTTTTTGCCTGCTTACAGGTTTTAGAACACTGGCTAAAAACTGGAACCTGTTAGCTGTAAAATTCATTCAAGTAGAGCACTTAGAGTGGAAAGCTGAGCACACCGGGTCATTCAGTTTGGCTGCAGACATGTGCAGGAAAGAACTGCACTGACTCGGGCTTTCCTGACTTGTTATGTTTCCCAGGAGCCTTCCATCATGTTGTGCCACGGGGCTAGAGTTTGTGGCACATGTTCATAACCCTGTCATTCATAAGGCTGGGGCAGGAGGACTGTGTAGGGCCACCCTGAGCTAGATGACGTCCTGTCCAATAATGATAGTAGTCATAGTCGTGATGGTGACAGCGATGATGATGATGATGATGAGTGTTCTGAAATACCTAGAGACCCAGATGGAATGCTTGGGTGACAAATCCTATGACACAGGAGGGACAAAAAGTGACCTTGGGTCTGGATATCTGCAGGAGATCTTAGAAGCAGACTCCCACAGAAATCAGGAGACAACTGTATTGTTATATTTTTTCCCATAATTGCAAAATTAATATACTTTCTTTTGGGCTGGAGAGATGGCTCAGCGATTAAGGGCACTGATGGCTCTTCCAGAGGTCTTGAGTTCAATTCCCAGCAACCACATGGTGGCTCACATCCATCTGTAATGAGATCTGATGCCCTCTTCTGGTGTGTCCGAAGACAGCTACACTGTACTCATGTACACAAAATCAATCGATAAATCTTTTTAAAAAAATACTTTCCTTTGAAAAAAAAGATACTTTCTAAAAAGTGTGTAAGCGCTCTGGAGTTAGTTGTGTGGCTGTCACAGTCGTCACATGTGAACTCTGCAGTATTTTTACTATCTGAGTATATTTTCTCATCAGGAAAACTTGGGAGTCTTTAGAAATCTTAATATTTTTTCTTTGAATATTTATTATAGTTCTTTCCAAAATAGCTCTGTTTATTATGTTTGGAAAATTATATTAGTTGCATTAACTACTTCCCTGAATTTGCCCATGATAAATTGAGCCTAAATACAGCTCTACAAATGCCAGAGCCTTCTCTGTGGATATGTAGATAAAACCTGAATGTCTCCAGCATTTTCAAAAGAATGTCTGTGTCCTCATTAGGCCGACAGGTTGTTTGCTGCTGTGCATTACAGTAAGGACATACGCTTGAGAGCAGTCACGATAGAAAGACAGATGGCTGTCCACAACTGGAGAGTCAGGCACTGTCGCACCTTGCTGAGTGTTCCCATTCACCCAGAAGTTCCATACTGTTTGCTAGACTGGGGTGTTTGTGAAGGCTAGAAGTCGACTGCTTTCTCCTATTACAGTCTCTTAAGCACAGAAAAGGTCACAGCTAAGAAACATGGCATTTTCTATAGGTGTAAGAGGTTTACATTTACATTGATTGGAACACTTCCCTGTAGCACCCAAGAGTGTCTTATGCTTAGTGTCCCATTCAAAAAAGTATAGTGCATACTCATAACTAAGATTCTGTTCCTGGAAATTTAACCTTGGTGTTGTTTGAAGTACTCTGTACCATTAAATTTGTACCTCCACCTGCAAGTACGTGACATGGAGTAATGGAACTAAAAGAAAGGTCTGGGGATGTGGTCCATTGGATAAAAGCATGAGGATTCCCCAGACTCCATGTAAGGCCAGATAGAGTACCATGTATGTCTAAGTCAAGAAGGCAGACGAGACAGGAGAAGCCCTGGAACTCATAAGCCATCTGGCCCAGCATATCCATAAGCAGTGTAGGGATAGGCAGGGCCTGACATGGGAGGCTGTGTTCTGCCCTTTGTGTGTGTGTATGCCATAGTACCTGTGTACTACAGCAGTGCACAAACACACTGCACATTCGGGGGGAAGATGCCTGTGTTTTCCCTTTCTCGTTACTTGTTTTCCTCTGTGCCTGTTAGCCTTTTGCTGTTGGGGTCATGTGGAGTGGTACATAAACCTTCCTAGGACTGTCATAACTCTTTCAAAGTCAGCTCTTCGTTTCTTTATTCCTCCTTTTTTCTTTTGTTTTGTTTGGGGTGGGGTTTTTTTGTTTGGTTGGTTTAGTTTGGTTTGTTTGTGTTTTGGCATTTTGAGACAGGGTTTCTCTGTGTAGCCCTGGCTATGCTGGAACTCACTCTGTAGACCAGGTTGGCTTTGAACTCAGAGATCTACCTGCTTCTGCCTCCAAAGTGCTGGGATTAAAGGATTGTGCCACCACAGCCTGGCTGTCCTTTTTCCTTAAGGGAAGGAAGGAGACAGATTTGACAACTAGCTGATAAAGCCTGTCTATGCTTTTCTGGAGTTTCTGTTTCCCTTCAGTTCAACCATACTTTCTTTCTTTTTTTTTTTTAATTATTTATTTTTTTCTCAAATCGTAATTCATTCACACAGGGGTTATAAACACAGAAAGGCAGGGTGTGGGGAAGGGGATCAACCATTCTTTCTTAATACCTCTCTCCCTCCTTCATACTTTGGGACACTTTGGTGCCTTGTTTCGATGCTTTGATTGGCTCCAACAGCCCAATTATACAGATAGCTAACCTAGACATTGGGCGCCCAGAGTTCACTTTCAGCAAGCTCGTAAGTCGGCTTTCTCCTCAGTGCTCAGCTTACTGCATTGCCCTAGCTGTCTCTATTTGTATTTTCCTTACCAGGGTATCTTAGTCAGAGTCTCTATGGCTAAGATGAAGCACCATGACAAAAAAGCAAGTTGGCAGGGAAAGGATTTGTTGGCTTACACTTCCACAGCACTGTTGATCATGGAAGGAATTTGTGACAAACACTCACACAGGGCAGGAACGTGGAGGCAGGAGCTGATGCAGAGACCACAGAGGAGAACTGCTTATTGGCTTGCCCAGCCTGGTTTTGTTTTGTTTTGTTTGTAATCAATCACTAGTTAAGACAATGCTGTACAAGCTTGCCCAGTACTACTGAGGCACTCTCCTGCTTGAGGTCCCATCCTCTCAGATGACTGTAGCATATGTCAAGTTGACAAAAAACTTATCCAGCACGAAGAGTATCTCTAGATTTCTCACTATCTACCCCATTCAGCACCTACTTAGAAAGGCCCAGTTTCCTTTGTTGGGAGTACCTTCCACCCATGTCTACCATGGTGACTCAGCTGTGCGTGGCTCCTGCATTCTCAAGAGTGGAGGATGGTGATCTTAAGGACTGACTATATGGGCGGTATGAATGGTCATACCATAGCATCTCTCTGATTCTCCTTAGAGTGTCTGCAAACACTGCAACAAGCCTAAACTAGTTCTTGCCATTTGCTTTACTGTTTGTTTGGATTTTTTGTTATTGTTTCTAATTTTTTTATCATAAAAAGTAGGACTTATTGTGGGATACAGTTTCATTTGCTAAACTACTAAAATGACTATTACATTTTCTGAACATTTCTTTCCCACAGCATCTTAAGTCTTCCTCATCAAGCATCGCCTGTGTCCCGCACCCCAAGCCTTCCTGCTGTAGATACAAGCTACATCAGCACCTCCCTCCTCCAGGACTACAGGCACCCTTTCCATATGACGCCCATGCCTTATGACTTACAAGGTGAGTTCCTGCTCCCTTGCTGGGTCACACAGGCTGAGGACTGTCTTCACTGAGTGTGGCTGCAGGCTGGGGATGGGAGCCCAGGGGAGAAGTGAGTATGGGGGGACATAGCTTTGGGTCTTCGTGGCACTTCCTCAGCAGCCAGCGCTCACTGCTCTGGGATACTGGGGTAGTAGTCTTGAGGCACTGTGAACTTCCCAGTATTCCATAGGCTTTTGGCGTACTTCCTATATGTGGCCCTCAGGTTGATGGGAGTGAGTGTTGGGCTTTGTTCTTTGATTATGGCTGCATGTAACAGATACTGTGTGTGGCTATATTGTATTACAAGAGATGGACTTACTGGGTAGCCCTGGTTTGGGCCTGGAGCTCCCTATATAGTAGACCAGACTGGTCTCAAACTTGCTGTCATCCTCCTGCCTCTGCCTTCTAAGAGCTAGGATATTAGGCATGCACTGTATTGTGGAGGTGCTGCATACCATGGCACACATGGAGATCTGAGGACAGCCTGCAGGAATTCATTCTCCTTCCACCATGTGGATTTTAGGGATCAAACTCAGGTCATCAACTTTGGTGACAAGAACCTTCACCCACTGAGACATCTTGTCAGTGTTGTTTTATTGTCTTATAAGTAGTGACAAATTGAGACACTTGAATTTTTTAAATTTGTTTCTTTTGAACCTTACCCCCCCCCCCTTTTTTTTGAGATAATCTTTCTGTGTAGTCCTGGTTGGCCTCGAACTCATAGATAGCCACCAGCCAGCATATACTGTCATGCACAGACTTATCTTTTTTTTAAAAGTTTGATATGTTGGTACATCCATTGGTATCTCAAAAGGAAATTCAGCTATAGGTGTATCGTTATGGACGAATCATTTAAATCCCCAGAGGCTGGGTCCTCTGAGCAGGTCTCTCGACAGCTGTCCTTAGCTCTTTGCACACGTGCATCACTGTGGACAGCTCCTGGAGCCCTCCCTTCTGCTGTGGACAGTTGCCAGCACGTGACGTTACCGTTGTCTAAGTTAGGAAGGGTCTGCCTGCAGCCAACACCTCAGATCTGACCGCCTCTTCCTCCTGACTGTTAGGATTAAGGGCATGTACCACCATGCCTAGCCATACAGACACCCTTGGGTTTTAATCTGGACTAGATGACAGGAAGTGAACACTTTGACGAGGAGAATTAAAAGCTTTGTTATAATTTGTATGGCTCTTACCTGTAAAGTCAACCCAAAAGTCTTGAAAGGTACTTCATAAGGCATAAGAGGCACTTGTGTGGAGTAGATTAGATTCAGAAGTCGCTTAAGGGCTAGGAGTGTAGCTCAATGTGTAGAATGGTGGCCAGGTGTGCATGAGATGATGGGTTTGATTCCCAGTACCAGATGAACTAAACATGGCAGGTAGTATGTGCTTGCAGTCCCAGCACTCAAGAGGTGAGCACTTGATTAAGAAGTTCCAAGTCAACATAGTTTATGGCCAGCCTGCTCTACATGAGATTCCATCTCAGCAAACAGACAGGCAAATAATAAATAAATAAATAAATAAATAAATAAATAAATAAATAAGTGGTTACTTATGGAGATTAAGTAAGAGCAAAGTATTGTTGCCAAAACTTGGGTTTTGCCCTTCATAGTTTGCAGGTGGACATGCTATAGACCCTTCAGCTTGACGTCTCATGGCTTTCGATTTGGTCTTTGGTATTATTTGTTTGTTTGTTTTGGTAGGTTTTTGTTGGTTGTTGTTGTTCTTTGAGACAGTCTTTTGATTTCACCTTAGCAGGCCTGGAAGTTGCTTTGTAGACCAGGCTAGCCCCTAACTAAGAAATCTGTCTCCCTCTTTCAAGTACTGGAATTAAAGGTGTGAACCACCATGGTCCTCCATTCCTTGAGTTTAAATAGGAATCCAGGGGGCGTGGGGTGTAAGACTTAAATGCTGGATATTTAGAAAGGTTTGCTTTTCCTTTTTGATGATTTTTTTCTCTGAGGTCATTTTTTTTTT